TAGCGTCGGACCACAGCGTTCCCATCCTGGTTCTCCCCACTCTCACGGTGCGGCTCTGGGCCGCAGCATGAAGCCGCTGTTCTCAGAGGAGGCGCTCTAAACAGCCGCCATCCATGACCTGCTCAGCAGCAACCAGCAGGCAGGATGCGGTGGAGACCAAACCCAGAGCGAACAGAGAGGGAGCACTGGGCTGAGGCTCCTCAGGGGGACATGGACACACTGTGCACGAAGGAGCATGTTGCTCTGTGTCTGCCGGAAGTGGGAATAAGCCATTTAAGCTTTTCTTAATATTTAAAAGAGCCACTTTGAAGTAAAAGAGGAATCAGTACGACTATTGAAGGATTACATGCACCAGGTCTGGTTGTGTGTGTGTGTGTGTGTGTGTGTGTGTGTGTGGTGGTCTTTACAACGGGGCCAGGTCGACTGTTGTGCGGCTGCAGCGTGATCTGCCTGAGCCAGACATGTTTGTCATGAGAGGGCTGTTTGACCTTTTGAACAGCGTCTATATGTGGACACACTCCAGATGAAGAGAGGCCCCGGCCCTGAGCGGCTCGTTAGGACACGATGACCCAGGAGCACGTGATCAGCAGACGCTCTCCCCCCCCGAAACCCTGAAGCCAGCATGGGACGGGTGTGAGGACCTGTCGCTAACACTGAGATGTGGCAGACGGGGTGGTACAGCCAGCACCGGGGTCTGACACCAGGCTTTCTGGCCCTGGACGGTAACAGGAGCCTCATTCTGCAGCGTTTTACTTTTTAGTGCTTTGGTGATGTTTTGTTGGATTCTCCAGCTTTGATGCAACAGTTACTTCTACAAAATGCTTTGTCCATCCACTAAAACATTTCCATTTTAAAGAAACTCATCTTCTTGTGCTCTATGATATAAACATATTCACTCTATAGTTTTGGTCTTGTGAAGGGTCCATGCACCAGGGTCTAGTCCAGGCTACTCACTGTCAGACTCACAGCTTTGAGCAGAACAGTCGTCCCTGGGGCGGCCGACGACCATTAGTTTTACATACATTCAGGTGAACAGGTGTTGGTCCAGAGCCACAGTTGGCTCTTTCAGACTGACAGAGTGAGAGCGCTTCAGCTCAGGTGAAGGGTCCGGGGGCACTGCTGTGGTCAGACTGGAGCTCAGACTGGGCAGAGCCGCTTGATGCACATGCTGAAGGGTTTCCTCCTCACTGGTGTGTCCTTTGACCCTACAGCTGTGAGCTGGTTACGTGCACACTTTTAAGAATAACCTGGATCCAGGATTTAATCGAGGTGTTTGGAACCTGGACAGGGTGTTGACGTGTGCAGATACAGAACCACGGCCCCTGTAAAAACCCAGTCACACGACACATTACAGGAGTGTCCAGGCTCAGCTTACATGGTTAAATATTCATAGTTTAAAAACGTTCAGTATAAACGGTCCATGTTTCCAGGTGGAGGGGTCATGGCGACGGTGATGTCACAGCTCACTGTGTAACATCATCTATAAAAGTCACCACGAGCTCCAGCTGTCGTTTTCCTCTGGTTTGTCTCCATTTTGTTCTTTTTCCATGCAGCCTTGGACTAACTATGAATTAAACCACATATTTTAGACCTGACATCAGTTTTCCAAGTGACTTTTCATGCATTTGTGGTGCCATTGATTGTGTTGTATTTTTAAAAGATGGCCACATTGCAGTCCTTATTTGGCTGCAGCACTCCTCACAAAGTTTCCACTGCACTACATCTCAGTGGGTCACGCAGAGACTCTGGCCCATAACTGCTTTTCGTACACGCACTTCCCTTTAGTTAGAGGTTCCCACCGTATTAACTGTTAAATCAATTACAAACAGGCCCCATGGGAACAGGGTCAGGCAGGGTAAATGTGAAATGAACGGTTCCTTGTTAAACGTCTGTGTGAAGCTGCAGCCGGTTGTGTGGAACCATGTGGTATTTTCAGTGTTCGTGCAGGTGAGAGAGACATTCGTTGTTGCTGCTCGCTGTGCGTTCACTGAGTTCAAGACATGCTTCCTCCAGTGCCACCCTGCACTTCAGAGTCAGGGAAGAAGAGGGGGAGGCCTGAGCTCTGGGCGAGGGACAGCTGGACAAACAGGGAACAGAGAGAGAGAGTGGGAGGAGCAGGAGGGGGGAGAAACCCTGAGTTTTTCTCTGAATGTGCCACGTAATTTGAGCGAACCCTTTAATCTCAGGCCACTGGCTCTTCAGGGCCGCTGGGTGTTGGGTTTCAGTGGCAGATGAAAAGAAATGAGCTGGTTCGGCTGGAATCTGAGGCCGACCTCACGCCAGAGATGAGCTGGTCTGGGAGAGAGGGAGGGTGGAGGTCTGGATCTGGTTTGGATCAGCCATCTGATTGGCTGGCAGACATGAGACGGAGCAGCAGACCAACTCTGAACCCAGCAGAGGGTTTGCTGTTGCCTGAAGGAGTGTGAGCAGAAATCACTCAATAAAGACCAAAAGCAGCTGCAGCTAACTGAGGCTGGGTGGGGGGTGGGGGGTCACAGCCACGTCCGGGAAACAGACCTAACTACAGCTCAGTCTGGCAAAACTCTTTTACTCTAGGCCCACTGACCAGGAAGCAGACCTTGGGTACGACAGTACTTCAGTTATCCACCTTTGTCTCACTGTGTCTGCTCCGGGTTCGTCCTAGTTTCCTTCGCCTCTGTGAAGCACTTTCACTTGTCTGTGTTTGACATGTGCTGTTAAATAAAGCTGCTTCTTACAAATACTGGAAATAGAAACAGACAAAATATGCTTTTAGACCAGGATGGTTATCAGGCCTCGGCACCGTGTGCCATCAACAAACTGACAAGTGCTCACAGCGGGAGCCTGGTCTACTTACGGTTGGACAGAGATGTTCAGGAGTCTGTCCACTGGAGCCTGAGTCCAGTCTGAAGCCTCTGATGTTCATAGCTAAGTCTCTTCCAAGTCCTGATGGGCGTCAGGGATCCAGGCTGTCGAGGCTCAACATGGGGCCAGTGGTCCCTCAGGAGGCCACATAACCGGACAGAGGAACGGTCTGAACTTACTAGAACCCCAAGTGCTGAACCTTACAACTTTTCAGACATTAAGCCTTAACTTCTGCTGACCTGATTAGGTCCCTTTTTATTGGTTCCTATTTTTAGATTGACATGTACATTTTTTGTCTTATGTAAATAATGTGCCTGTCTTTTAAGCCGAGAGCTGCCAGAAAAAGATTAGTTGTGCTATGCATAGTGACAATAAAGATTCTTGGCCCTGACCCTAACTTGTCCCCTTTTTACAATACTGGCACTTCATTACATCTCAGGGGGAAATACTTTTTAAACTGTATTTCACTTTGTCCGACACCTGTTGTCAGTAGGACTCTTGTAGAATGTGGTTTTCTATTCAGAACAGACCAGAAACTTGTTTCAGAAGCTTGGCAGCAACCGGCTGATTGCACCGATTCTGAAGTACATTTTACTGATGGTACTGAAAAATATCCCATTTCAAAGTTGAACGTTTCTAATTGCTGCTGCTTTATTTGATGGAACTAAAGTAGAGCTGACAAACTCTGGGACAAACGTGTGACGAAGTGGAAGTCTGCAGATTTCAGTGACTACAGGGCGTCTAAAGAATATTTTCACAATGAATCAGTGGAAAACGTAGCATGATCCCAGGAGGACTGAAACCAAAACACAGAGCTGTAAGAGCCGCATAAAGGCCGGTTTTATTAGCAATACCACACCGATGCTCTGAGCAGTTGGGCACAAGTTAAGGCTGCAGCTCAGTATTAGTTCTCTTACTGATTAATCTGTCTGTATTTTGTGAAGCCAATGTTTTGTCTATGAAATGTCCAAAATGGTGACACGTGGGTTTTGCTCCAGTTGAACATAACGTCTTCCAAATGCTACTTTGGTCCAAAGCCAAAGCCCCACAGTAGTGATTCATTTGCTTTCAGAAACGCCAGCCAGGGCCTGGAAAGGGTTAAAGCTTGCCGTCCTGCGAGAGGCAGCCGGAGGCGATGGGGCCGACGTAAACACACAGACAGGCCCCCATTCATGCGCTCGCTGTGTGATCAACCTTGAACATCGCAAGGCGTGTTACTGCAGCAGAGAGGGGGAGGAGACAGACGACGGAGAGGAAGGAGGAAGGGAGGAGGACGGTGATTTCGGAATTCCAGCGAGGAGCATGTGACCCCTGGGCAAGGCTACCACCCCCCCCACTCTGAAGCAGGGGCCCCTGTGTACTGCTCCCTGAAGTCAAAGATGCGAGTGTGGCGCACAGAGAACATCCACGACTGACTGATGCACACACATGAAAATAACTGCAGACAAAGCAGAACTGAGCCAAACGTGCACTGAGGGTAGAAATAAGTAAACAAAGCTCAGCTTCATCCAGCTCCACTCTGACAGGAGCCATTTTGTCTGATGAAGCAGGAGGCCTGTTTGGATCTGTTCCCTCGGGCTGCAGCTCGTGACCTCACGTCTCCAGTGTGTTTGCACTGGAACCAGGGCGCAGGTGGAGCCGGCAGCAGCGCTGGTCTGCTGCCAGCGTTTGTTCGTAAACACAACAGAAACGAGGCTGCTGAGGTGTCAGCTTGGACCCGTGCCACGAGGAGGGTTAGTCAGCAACACGAGGCCAACAGCAGAACCTAGATCCAGGCACAGTGAAGAAGGGCGTGCATGTTGTTGCACAGGACACGTGAAGACGCATCAACAAACACCTGTGGGCGTCGCTTTGAAGCCGCGCTCATCCTGTTTCCACAGCCCGCTATTTTTAGGCCCTGCTTATCTACCAGCACCGGGACAGAGGCTCAGCGGCGAGCGACCTCGGCCCACCTACCACTGATTTACTGTACAAAGTGTTTATGCAACCCCTCCCCCCGCTGCCACTCTCCTCAACTTCTCTTCCACCCACTGTTCCCTGGAAGCCAGTGTTGGACACTATTGCATCATGGCTGCTTCACAATCAGACCGTGACGCTCCAGCCAACTCCTGGCTCACTGATTATGGAAAATAAGCAAAGCACAGAGACACTCGAGGTGTTATTACAAGGTCTGAATCTGTATTTGGCAAGTTTGTCTTAAACAAGTGCATACATGTACAGCTAGAAGCTTTTTGTTGGGTTTTTATTTATTTTTTAGCCAAGTGCTCAGATTAGTCACATTCTAAGTTGGACAGGACTGTGTCCAGACCTACAGTACACCGACAGACTGAGAAGAAACGAAGTGGGAGAGTCCGTTATGACGAGTACATACCTTTTTATCTTCAAAAATATAGAAACACAAAGTACTGAAAAAGAAAAATCAAAAAAATTATACAGCCAAATGTACAAAGTCTACATCTCCCATGAGTCCAGTATGTACATGTCCATCATTCTGGGGACGACTCATGTTTGGGCGTGAGTTGGGTTACAAAAGGAAAAACGCTGAAGAACACTTTAAGGGTCCCTCTCCTTTTTGACCTTAATGTCCCCGGTCAGGATGGTCGCAATCTCCCCCTGCATGAAGGCCCAGGGCACATTGGAGCCAACCAGCGGGCACCGTTCGCCACTGGGGCAGTACACCTCGCCGGTGGCGCCCTGCTGCTTGATGCTGTCCCGGGAGCAGGGGAAGCAGAACTTGTGTGAGGGCACTGACGGGCACTGGACAAAGTGAGTGTCCTCCAGCCGCTCGTGGCACAGGGTGCAGCAGAGCGGCACGCTGCCGGGCGGCACAGAAGAGTCCGGGATGCTCTGCTGCGGCGGTGCGTGGGGGTCCATGCTTCCAGGTGCAAGTGGAGCAGAAGAGTTGGTGCTCACAGGCCCCTCTCTCTGGGTCAGCCTCCGCTGAGAGGCAGAGGACGGCGACGGCAGGGAGGCCGGGGGCAACTTCAGGACCTCAGAGGGTGAAGGCAGCCACCCCTCACCGCCATTCATCTTGGGGGCGCTGCCTTCGCCATCGGGCTCTGGGGAGGCTTTCCTCTTCATGCTCCGCGGGTGCTTCCCCCGCTCTGTGATGAGGAAGAGGAAGAGGGAGGGTTAACACAACCACACAACACACAAACACTGTGCTGCTCTGTGAAGACTCAAACAGGAAATTTCTCTGCACACAGTGACTAAAGCCTGTTGGTGTCCGGTGCCCGAGGTGAACGGGTCCGTAGCCTGCCGTTACCCGGCATGCCATGTGTGAATGCAGTCAGCGCCCAGTGAAACATGCGGATCATTTCGGCGCTGTGAATTTGGTGTTTTCATAATTTCGCAGTGCTGCGAAAGCCAGAGAAAGACGTACCTGTTTTAGAGGAAGTGGCGCTGGTTTCATATCCCATCACCCTCTGCATGGCGGCGTGCTCCTTCTTGAACCGGCTGTCGAACGGGTGCAGCGCCA